GATTTTGTTAGCTCAATTACATTAGATACACTTTGCTTTATCACAATTACACTGCAGCCTCCTAAGTGGCACTTGCATGCCTTGAAATCACACCCAAGTTTAAGGACTGTGAATGCTTCTTGGATTACTCCAGGATAAGAGGCAACCCAGAGCAGCATGAGGCTACACACAGCAAGGAGGTTCTTGTCGATTTATTTATCCACTTCTTCAATTAATTATGCAGAGGAAAAAAAGAAAAAAAAGTGTTTCACTAAAAATCTAATCTGTAAATACTAATGCTGCACTGCATTCTCAAAAAAAAAAAAAAAAAAAAAAAAGGTCTAGAACTTAACCTGAAATAATGATGCTATAATACAAGGGATAAAAGTCTGTTTTATATCTGACTGACATGGAGCACTGATTGCATGGGACAAACCACCGTAATGCAGAGAAACAGACACACACCCTAGACTTAGTGTGGCTTGTGTACTAACAGTTCGACCCACAAAAACTCCCACTCAGCTATCAGAAAGAAACAAAGCCAGCCAGCCTCCCCGCACAGGGAGCTCTGCAATAATCTGAAGTACATCCTTTGCTGCAAATCCAGTGTATAAAGTTGTGCATCATTACAATTTACAAGACTAAGTGATGCAGCTGCAACATTGGCATTGAACTCAAACAAATCCCGAGGACTCTAAAAGACAGAAGAAACCTTGTTTATTAACTCCTGTTAAATTAACTGCACTGTTAACTCACGGCAATTATTATGCAGAGGTTACAGTACTGTATATCTCTGATTTTTATCCTTACCCAGGGAAAAAATGGTCCCAATAGCTACTATTAATATAATGTCAGGGATAAGTACTATCACATTTTGCAGTATGTTTAGGAATGAAGTTTTCCTTTTCTTTAATGACTAGTATGGGAAACTATCTGGAAAACAAGAGCAGCAATCCCCATAGAATAATACCTGAAAACTTTCTCTATATGACAACAAGCCCATATATAACAATTAAAACATATTTCCTAAATCTTCATGCTAGCCTTACTGCTATCTCACCTCTTTTGTGAATTCACTCGCAAACTTGTGACTGGGACATATAAGACAGCACAGTACCGATGGCACCTACGACAGCATGAATTCTGCTCACTAAGTCTCCTGCTATGAGGTTTATTTTCTGGAACGACGATTAATTTCTCGTTTTCTCATTAATCCTGCTGGCCAAGACCTGTCCCGCAGCGGCACCGCTCCAAGCAGTGGGTCCTTCCTGCTGCAGAGCCGGGCTGCCCTGAGCCCGCGCTGCTTCACGCTCTGCAACCTGACCGGAATAGCGAGCAACCTTCCTGCCTGATGCAAACAAGGAAGTTCATAGAATTATGTTCCCATCCCTTCCAAAGTCATAATACAAAGGCAAACAAGCCAGAGAAGAATTCTTTCCCTCTAATAAGCTTTTTGAGCAGTGTTTCAGCTGCTGTAATTCACTTCAAAACTGCTATGAACCTTTTGCAGAGGTCTTGCTTAGGGGCTCTACATCCTCATAAAGCATTTGCTGATCACTGGCATCAGTAAGCTAATTTATTCAGCCCTTTAGTTATACAAATGCTACGAATGATAAGTGAATTCACAGTGTAATTCCAAAATCAGTAAAGTTCTGGGATGGGCTTAAATGTTAAAAGAATAGATAAATGCATATTTTTTCCATCACAACCACAGGAACTTAAGGAAAAATTTCTTAACAGTGAGGGTGACAGAGCCCTGGAACAGGCTGCCCAGAGAGGTTGTGGAGTCTCCTTCTCTGGAGATCTTCAAAACCCGCTTGGACGCAGTCCTGTGCCACGTGCTCTAGGTGACCCTGCGTGTGCAGGGGGGTTGGACTAGATGATCTCTAGAGGTCCCTTCCAACCTTAAGCATTCTGTGATTCTACGACTATGTACATTTCACTTCAAAAGTTGGAAGTGTTTGCATGCATATGTGCAGCTGTGTACACATAGACTGATGTTCATAAAGCAGACAAAATACAGTTAGGTTTCTAATCTTGAGCTTGTTTAACTGGAAAATATTACAGAACTAGAAAATTAGTCACTCGCATTGACACACCTCTAGAAAAGATTTACACGCTTATATAACTCAACAGTACACACAATCCTATTTAAGTCCGAGATTAAAAATTCTAGTATGCTTAAGGATCTAAGTTTTAATGAGTTTTTTAAAACTCTTCCTAAAGGGCTCTGAAAGAGGTGTGTTTTCTTCTGGTCATCCTCACTATTTCTCTCTGACCTCAGGCTAACTAGTCCATAGCTTGTGGGGGGAATGTGTGAACGTGTCAGTTGGATTCAGCTGGACCTTGTCCTGGGCTCTTATGCCCACTGCAAACATCTTGTTTTTTCTCATTTCCTCACTTCTCTAAAGGCACTTTGGGTCTGTTTCCACCTCTCAGTGCCATTTCACCCCTAACACAGAAATGGGAGATAAAATTTCAAACACTGTGCTCTGATTTTGCACTTTGGTGTCAGTTGGAGATCATTTGGGGTTGGAAGGTTTTTGAGACAGAAATTAGAAATCTGTGGGCAGAACATCCCTCCGTTATGGCAAAATTAGAGGTGAGAACACAACAGCTGAGGGTCGTGCACTTCCAGAATAGAGGTACAAAATATGTATGCAAAGGAGCATGTCTGCTGGCACACTTTATGTGAGCACGTAATTTCCAACTTGCACATCACATTAGCTACTCCCTAAGAACAGCACTTCAGTATTTGAATGAAAAGATTACAGTCACTGCATGCACAATTTACTTACAAAATACAAGAGCCAGCTTTGCCATTCCTGCTGTTTTAAAACTTAGGTGCGTAATCTTAAAGAAAAACACACTGACCTTTATTTTTTAATAACAAAAATACAAGTTTAGGACTAAATTTCACTTCAGAAACACCTGGAGGTAATTTTGCAAAATAGCTCTGATAAGTGCGGTGAAGGATTTAAAGGGCACCTACCAATTAACCCCCCCACACAAATCTTCTGGCTAAGTCCTTCTGCAAAGCTTTGAAAATTTGCCAGTTATTGGTCTAATCTATTCAGAAATTATTTTTTTCAGATTGCCTAAAATTCTCTTTTACGTAGAGCTGTGCTATGATTATTGTTATGTTCAGTGCCACTCAAAACTCATTCTAAGAAACATGATTACAACCTTTAGACTGTAACTGAATAACTCAAGGTTTACATTTGTAATTTTTAATGGATTGTTATAATGGGCAATTGGTCTAGAAAAGGAAACTCAGTGAAAACTTTAAATTACTCTTCCTACAGAAAAGCGTAAGGGTTTTATGTCCAGCCCTGAGCGTGGGCTCTGGAGGGACAGGCTCTTGTCTGGAAAGAAGCTGTGCACAAAGCCAGTTTGCAGGATACCTCCTGTTTGCACACACATCCTGATGGCAAAACAATCCCTTTCTGCATAAAGCAAATGGTAAACCAAGATTCAAACTAGGCTATGATGAGGACAGTGCAAAACTTACGATTTTTGTTGTAAATTATCCCTTCTAGAATTTGTTTGTCATTATATGGATTGTTATGTCACTACCGGATTATTTTCTAGACTGCAAATGGGTATCAGGCATGGCATTGTTTTCCCTTTCTTCAATGCAGTATTGTCTGCTAAAGAATACACTGATTTTTCAGACATATCTTTCCTCTTAAATGATGTTATTGCAAACTAACTCTCTTTGAGAGCACATAAGACAGAGAACAACAGAAAACATTAACATATTGTGAAAGATGAGGCCTCTATTTCTGGGTCACAAAGCAGTGGGAGAAGGATATAAGCCAGGGCACAGCCATGTAGGTGATGTTATCTTGAGGCCAAGAACCTTTTCAAAAATACCTGGAAGGAGCTGCCCTGGGTGAACTCAAAAAAGGGATGTGGTAGGATAGGTGAGGCTTTCTAACCAGAAATTTAGGTAGGTAAGGACTGCCACTCAAAGCTGGTTCAATAGCTCACCTTTCAGGCCCTCCCTTTTACCCTGACAAGCCACTAGTTTATTATTTACCAAACAGGAACTGCAGAAGTCCTTGGAGGTTATTCTACTACCACATTTAGTCTAAACAAATGCAACTTTTCTTATCTCCTTGACCTCCACTCTGGACTTGCTTTAAGTAAAACTTGTTGTGTAGCAGCCTGATAGAAGATAATCTTCTCCCAAGCCTCAGTACGCTTTATCTTAGAGACCTTTCAAAAATCTTCAGACGTCCATGGCTTGGCACAATAGGTCTGTTACTGCCAGTGGCATTAAATTCTGAATCTAAAGGAGACGTTCAGATAAAATTAATCTGCATTCAAACTAAGAAGGAAGTTTTGCGGAAGTGGAGAGCTCTGTTCCCTAATGCCACTTGGGAACATTCGGTCCTGCTTATTCTGCTTCCTGGTCCTGAACTAGACTCGGGGGGATCAAACCACAATAATGTGCAACCGCCTGGGACTGGGACAGCCAGGTTCTAGGTCAGCAGCTACTATGATGCCTGTGCCTTGATAAACGCAGCAACGATTTACAGCTTCCAAATAAATGTGCTGACAGAGAGGTGGCGTCTCCCAAATACTCCTTCCCTGCAGCAACTGTCTGCTTCCGAGGCTGCGGAGCTCCTGGGAATCCTGCTGCTCATCCCGCTGCATGCAGCTCCATCTTAGGGCTCAGTAGATCCAGTTAGTTCAGCCTCAGCACCGGCTTAGCAGCACCAGCCTGAGTGATGCATCCCTAATGCGAGTGATGCACAAAGCTCTATGCTAGTGCTTCCCATTTTTTCTGGGCTGGGAGTGCCAAAAACCTGCCTTCAGGGTGTATCAGCAGATGACTACATTGCCCTTAATACCTGCGCAGTTCCTTTTATAGATGCTCCTATTTAAAGGGAAAGACAGAAAAGCATTTGTCCATCTCTCGAAGGCACAGGGAGACCTGAGGAGGTTTCTGTGTCCCTGCGCTTGGATCTGCGCTGCCACCCCTACCTCCCCTCCACAGCCTGAAATGTGTCATTTCCACAGATGCACAGAACAAGTCCGTGAGCACAGGACGTGTTTATCATGGTAAAAGGTGGAAGTCACTTACTAAATCAAAACTGAAAACAAAATATATCCAGTAGCCTTCGATGCAAGTAGCCCAGGTGGCAGTCAGAAATTAAAGCCAAACCACATAGCTCTTTAGCCAGACAACAGCACACTGAATTGTAATTTTATTAGTGAGAAACACTTCTGGGAAAAAGCAGGTGACATCAAAGAAAACAAAATCAGCAGTCTAATAGCACTTTTTTTTTTCTCTTTTTGTTATCATGCCAATTGTTAAATTAAACACTGTCCACAGCAAGATAACACAGCCAAAATTTACAAATGGGTCATCAAGCAAAATAGTTGTTTTGGGAATATACTTAAATGGATTTTTTTTGCCAGCTAGGGAGAGTACAGCATTTTGTGATGAGATTTTTCTTCAGAAAAAAAATATATACATATACACACACTTTTATAGAGATATAAGAATTTTTTAAAAAGACAAAAAAGCACAAGCTTCGGGCCTTTAATCATTATCAGATTGGCTTACTCCTAGCATTAGCCTCATTTCATTGATCTATTCCAGACCTACTTTTAGATCTTTTCCAGATTTTCATTCTACTTACCTAGGTTAGCATATGGCACAGAACTATAAGTAAAATTGTTCTCAAACCATTGTGCTGAGGGTGGCAAAGTGGTACAAATGCTGAAAACTAACTTAAATCAACTATTTATAGAGAAATGCACAAAAGGTACTTATTGACGTGAAATAAAAAAGGTTTTTTTTGTTATTTTTTGAAAGATCCAGTAGAGAAATCAAAGCAGGCTGTCAATTAAGTGTTCCAGATAAGGGGATTAGTGCAAACGATACTGCAACGAAGTATAAATAAAATTAGTTTTTCATTTTGGTTCATCAAAGTTGCAAATTTCAGGATAAGCGTAATTGAAACGTAGTTGCTTTCAACCATCAAATAACTTATTGTCAAGCCAATATGTCTTACTATCTGATGGCTTTTTCACAAAACGCAGATTAAAGAATTTTACCTCTTCGAGAAACAGAATGCTGCCAGGAAAATTTAAGGCAAGGATGAAACCTGATGGTAATGAAGACAACCAGTAATAGAGAAAGGAAGTGAGGAATTACCTTTGCCACATGTAACACTGCAGGCTGTCCAGTCTCCATACTGCCAAAAATACTCTGGCTCCCCAATCTCATTCTCATGGCTTTCTTCTTTACGCACAGTGTATTCATACATGATCCCAGGGTTAGTCTCTTGAAAAAGCAGCTGGAAAAAAGCATGGTTTATTTAATTACTTATGATTATAATTTACTGACGTAAAGCTCTTAAAGTGTGAAAGCAGAAGAATTAGCAATCTCTAAAGCAGCTTTCCCATTTTGCAGCCTGCTACCAGTTCAAAAATGAAGACTGGCAAGCCTTTAATTTGCGTGTTGGCAGGGCTGTGTATGCCCCTAAGACACGGTTGTTTGCCATGCACTTCTGTGAGCGCAGCTGGGAGGAACTGGGTCAGCATAATTGGTATCCTATTGACTGCAAGAAAAGATCGTGCAAAGTCCATCCAAGACTGCCTGAAGTGCCCTTCATCAAGGACTATTGCCTAGCCTCATTATAAATGGTAATTTCCCTCCCCATCTGAAATAGCTCTTACAAAACAGCCAGTAGGTCAGCAAATAACAGGTTTTATTCAGATATGCTTCAGGATTTTTATTTTTGGTGTTTCTGTCATTCAGAAGGAAAATTCTAATTGCTAAAACCAAATCAAGAAGTTTGTCATTAGCTGATGAGAGGGAGGAAAGGAGAACATCTTCCAGGGACAAAACAGTGAAGCAACAAACTATTACTCTTCCTTCTGATTATCTCCTTGACTCTATTCCTGATAGTGAAGTTGGGACACCCACCCATAGGGCCACTTTCTCTCCAGACATTTAAGGTGTGGAAGTGGCTCCCCTCAACACCTTGAATATTGATTGCAAGTATTCACTGGATACACAGGAAAGATCTATTTATGGAATGAAAGGGAACAAAAGTGTTTTCAAATAATTTACAGAAGCTGGTTACATTTCAGGTAGAATTGATAAAGCTACATAAAAAAAGAAAAAGGGAGTAAAGTTAGCCAGCTGATGCCAACCAGCCCAGTTTCACTTACTTTAAGCTACTGTTTTGTGCTCAGCATACACCAACACTACTGTCACCCTTCCCAAGCTGCTGCTGCTGCTGCTTAATACCAGCTCTTCTTGTGTGATTAAGGATGTGATGCATATCACAGCCCCATGTGCTAACCCAGGCTGGCACAGGAGGCAGGGAAGCTTGGGCAGAGGACTGACCAGCAATATTCTGTGGAAAGTAGTGCTGGAGTATATTATTTTTTAATAATTGTGAAACCATAACACCTTACAATGATTTTCAGGTAGGGCAAATTACCCTATCAAACAAGGGGTATCTTTTTCTAAAAAACACCTCAACTCTTTTTTGAAAGACTACATATATAGCATGGCTTATATCAAAATACATATTTTTTCCAGACTCCTTTTCAAATACCCCTATGTGTTCTGCTGCCATCTACACTCAGCAAGTTCTGCTCACAGTCTTCTATTTACCTGTATCCATACTGATTCGTTGGTGGGTCCTGGAGCAGTCAGATTTTCCAGATCACCAGCTCTGTCGTACTGAAATATTGTTCCTGCCACTTTGTATTCACCATTCCACTGGATGATAAAGCCTCCATTCAGGTAATACTTTTCTGGGTCTTCACTTCGCACAGCAAGGAAGTTTCCAGCTTCCGCCACTTCTGTGACTTTGATGCCTCTTGCACCTTTTGGAATTAGCCCAATATCAACATATCCTAAGAGACAATACAGGTTCATGGAAACAAATGCAAAAAAATACAATTGCACATTACTTATTTGTAACTTCATATCCATTCTCTTAAGTCATTTAACTTCCCGCTGCCTGTTTTCCATCTTCAGACTTGCTACTGCAAACTAAAAGCCATTCAAATGCCTCATATTACTAAGAATAGTGAAACAGATTATATAAACTACTAACTTTCATAAGGAAGTTAAATAGCTTTCATGTACAAAGTTATCTATAAAAGGAGATGAGATTATTGGTATGTGTTTTAAGAATGAAACCAGAACACTTATCACAGTTTTGTTTGTGCAACAGGCAAAGCAACATGAAAATCTGTGCTTCTGATCTTATGGAGAATTGTTACTGCTAGTGAATGAAAACTGCAAAAATAGTAAGTATTTAAAAAAAAAAAAACAGAAAATAAAACCATTTTTTTTGCTGTTACAACTGGACAGGCTTTAAAAGTTGGATGGGTGACAGGTTTCCAGGCAGGAGCTCTGGAGTGGAAGCTGAAACTCACACTGGTGTATTTTAAGACTTGCTACTGGATGAACGTGGTGCCTCAGTTCTTACTCTATGTGGCTGAGGGGAGAAATTAAATTCTGGAATTTGAATCCTGTTCACTTTCTTTGTGTAAATCAGCTTATCACTTTTCACTACACACTCCCATGATTGAGACGGAATGCATCGGGCATATTCGGTGATCTTCATTATCTAAAGAATATCTACGTGGGCTCCTTGCAGTTAAATTCCATATATTTTCCTATGAAAATGCTCAGACAGTTTTCTGGTTGCCATTTTTTGCAAGCTTCCAAGACTGACTGTGGAGATTCAAAATATTTAGCCTTTCATAAGTAAAGAATCCAATTACATTCTGCAAGATTACTGAATAAGAAACCAGAGACAAGGCCTAGTGATTCTCCCAAATATTTTCCACTTTCAGGCAGCAGGAAAGTATTAAACCCAGTGTGTGATAATGTAACTAAAGGCTTGATTAGAAGGCATGCTTACAAGTGTCTCAAATTAAGACAGCATAGAAAATTTCAATTATGTCACTTCCTGAGAGCTTGGCTTTGCAACCCTGATGCCCTTTCCCAATATCTTTTTGGATCTAATTAGAATAACATTTGTTCAAAACACAAGTATAACAACAATATATATTTTTTTCCTGTTAGAACATGAAGTCTGTGTCCCCTCAAGTTTTTGCTTAATTATTTTTGTCTAAAATCACTTGCTGTTGCTCATAAACCTGATTTTAAATGTATTTTAAATGTCTGGTGATAGATTTTTTCATGTGCTAAATATTGTATTCCCTTTTTTTCCCCATTAACTAAGTTATCTCCCACTTTCCCCTAACCTCACACTAATTTCTGTATGCTCCTAATTACTAATTACTCCTAATTACTGCTGAGAATGCAATATAAAAAATAAACACATGCAACCCCTGTTGTAACAACAGTGCTGTTGCAGTTGAATGGCTTGTTTCTATTCTGCCTTGCCATGAGATCTACAAATCAGTCAATAATCAGACCCAGCTATTTCTCTTTATCACATCAGCCCCCATCCTGCTCTCCAGTCTGTCATATCTGTGAGCTTCTACATCTTACAAAATGTAACTTCTCCGAGGCTCAATCCTCCTCTGTTTCGTGTGTCTTGACCAGAAGGCTCTGGGAACAACCATGAAAATATGGTGTAGAGAAGAGCACAGGCTTCCAGCAGGGTGTTGGGTTTGCAGGCCAAGGCACGGCTGGATTCAGCCTTCCCATGAAACAGAGGAAGCACTGCAGCTGTGATGGTAAGGGAAAAGAAGCACAGCCCGGAGATGGTCTCTGAAGTGAGGAGCCAGGGGAACTTCCAGACTCTTGGATCTATGTTTGCATCATGGCTGTGTCCAGGCTCCATTTCAGGGCTAATTTCAGACACTTAAAAGATCTCTGCCTGATGTTTAGTTTACATGAAAGGTAAAACACGGGCAAAAGAGCACCATGGCATGGGTTTGATTCAGTCCTGATCAGGAGGTTATGGTTCCAACATAAACCTCCAAGTCTGGCTAAGCGCAGACTTTGTTCCTCACTTCATCAATTTGCTAAAATTCAGTTTCATAGGAGTGATGTGCACCTAATTTTACTTTCTGCAGTACTACATCTGCACCCCTATATGTCCTTATTGTAAGAAACGAGCTAAAGTCAAACAATTAATTTCCTTTCACAGAATGTCCTATTCCCCTTTCTTGCTATCCACTTACTCCACATTTGCCACAGTGCTAACCTGTTGTCCCTTCTGCCTCAGTCTTTCTTCGACCCCAGCTCTCCCCCTCACCCAGCACAGCAGGTCTCTCTCCTTCCCGGGCTGTTTGCATCCTTGTGACTGCTCTGCTGTGCCCAGGGAAAACTCCTCTGCAGCCACCACTACAATGAGCATAAAGTCAGGGATTTCCTCCTCTCTTAAATACCTTAAACAAAAGCAGATCCTTAATCATAGGAGAGCCTGTGACTTCTTTGCCCAGGCCTAGAACCTGCTTTTCACTGTCCTGCCCATGCTGCAATCTTGGTAGTCATAAATAGCCGAAGTGACTTAAATGATTTTTCAAACAAAGCTCCAAGTGCGGAGCAGGTACTTGCTAGCATTAGTGTCAATACTGGAGACCATCTGTGCAAATCTGATTTAATTTCCACCATAAAGCGCTAATGGAATCAATTACACAGATGAAATATTCACTCTATTCACTTCTGCAGCTGTGCTGGAAGCCTCTGGACCACTATGCCTGTGCTGCATCCATAGGAAAGACAAAGCATTTTAAATGGAAATTCGAGTAACCAGAAAGGTTTTAAAGTTTTTTTGTTGTTGTTTGCTTGCTAGGTTGTTTTTTTTGAACAGGAGTAGGTAAAACCTTAGGTAAAACTGTTTTCTGTACCCTGCTATGAAAGACTGAATTATTACAACTCTTTACTAATATTTCATTAGTCTGATTTGATCACTAGTTAATTTGAGGACTTACAATTTGAGGACTTACAATACAAGTTTATGGCAGAGTCTGCAAGAGAGAACTTCACATGCTTGCCAGTCAGAAATAAAAAAAAAGAGCCACATAGTTTGAACAAAAATAAATTCCTAATTCCAGTTTACCGCTTGTGGAACATCAGGGCAAACCACACATCTTAAAAGCTCAATGGCTCACAGGCTCCTGTCTTTCCTGCTACTTTTCCTCATTTCTTCCATAATGGAGTTAATTTCTGCAGAAGAGAAAGAGCCTGCAGAAGACATTCTCTCTATTGAATCTAAATGCAGTGACAAAATAATTTTACTTAACACACAAAATCCCTCAGTGGTTTCTCTCAGTGAGGCTTATTGAATCCTGGGGCAAGAAAAACGAAGTGAAGATATAATACTGTATGAATTTAAATAACATACAAGAGATGTCATTTTATCCTCCCATGTATAACTGCTTCAGTTAGCCTGGACCCTTTGAGAAATAATGTTATTTGAAAAGAACCTTCAGATCATTTTCATCCTTGGAGAACCCACACACGGTCAAATGCATCATCACACTCGTTCTGATCGGTCTCAGCTCTCCCCTCCCTGGGCCAGGCTCTATACTCGGATACAGCCCACACTGGGCATCTTGCAGCCCAAGGGGCTTGCTGCCATTGGCAAAGACAGGCTCAGTTCTCCCAGTGCAGATTCAAACCCGTTAACCCTTCAGGGAGCTACTTTGCTCACCTTCTGCCCCAGAGACATCCTACAGAAACTCGTACAACCATCAGGCATGGGAAGCAACTGCAGTGCAAACGGTCACTGTAGCCGTTTGGATCAGACAGACTGGACACTTCAAAATCAATCCCCAGACCAGACACTTCCAGCATTTCCTTCGTACTTTTGCTCTCCCGAGAGACTTGATCTAGTTTTTCTTTTTTCCTTTGGTGGTTAATCATATTCGTTTGTAAATGCACCTGCTATTTGGGGTTTTATTATCTGCGTAGAGACCTGTTGGTCTCTAACAGCATTTTTATTAGACAAGGTGAACGAATCCTTTCTGGCTCAAGCATGATTCACTGCGAAGCATCATGCATTTGCCATTTGCTATGCAGATTGATAGTTTGCACAGTCACTCAGTTTGCAGTAAGAGCTATTTGAGCCTTTTTTAGGGAGAGAAATTATTTCAGCAATAGAAGAATGTTTTTAAAAAGAATTATTTTTACCAAATCCTTCACTTTGATTAAACATCATCTTCACTGTATGACAAGCAGAGCCATCTCCCAGGCAAACTCCACACTGGTCTTCCGTCGCATTGGAGTTTATCTCATAATCACAGCCAACAGCCTAGAAGGAAAAACAGTTTCAGAATAAGCATGGTCTCCAAAATAACATACTCAAAAACTCCTTTCTCACTGCCTCCAGGGTACCCTGCCCTTCCAAGAAGAGGGAGAATCAAATTCCTGGAATAGTGCATGTTCTATATACAGGAACTAACAGCAGAGATTGTTATATTTAGCTTAAATTCACATGTACTGTATGAAAGTAAGTTTTTTCTTTTTTTTTTGTGATGAGTAAGCACCCATGTCTTCCCAGGAATTCAGTACAAATACAAAAGAAAACCATCTGACATACTTTGAATTTTATACCCATTTCTTCTTTACTTACTTAAAACAGAACATGCTCTAGACAGACAAGTAGGGGCATAAAATGGTAGAATCAGTACTAAGCCAAACACGAACCAGAATTTGGTTCCTACCAGTGGAGAAAGTTAAAGAAGAGGGAGAGGCAGAGGGAGAGGAGCTTTCCTTCTCTAAGGCCACTGCTGGTGAGGCAGAGCACAGGTTCAGAGCTCACTGCAGTGCCTCTGTCTTGACGTAATCAGAGTTCAGCTGCAGGCAGAGAACTATTCCCCAAACTCCCCTAAAGGCATCGTGATAATAATACTATAAAAACATGCCAAAGAAAGAATTCTAAAAATGTATTCAGTTCATTTAAAGTGATTTTAAAAAGTTGTATTTGGAAACTTAAAACAACTTAGCAAAGCAACTTCCAAAACAAAACTGAAAGTGCTGTTCAACTTTGCACTTCTATTTTTTATTGATAACTGCTTTAGAAATAAAGTGTTGCCCTCTAAACCACATAATGGTGCACTTGAGCTCCTTGATCTCATAAAGTTAATTAAATGATTCCTGTATTTTAACTACTATCATCACACTCAAATATTAATGAAGTTTAAAATATATTAACAGTGATTTGTATAAGACCCCACCATCATTACAGAGGGGCTGGTTGGGGCTCTCCAGTTAACTGAATCTCCAGTTAGTATCACTTTTGCTATGTGTTAGCTTCATCCATAGCACATCTTCATGGACTTAATGAACACAGGGCAACATGATTGTCCAAGAAGTGTGCTTCAAAGTCATCTTGATCATCCTACAACTTAATTTAGAAGACTTCTCTTCATGCAAAAAAATGGGATATATTGATTTTTTCTTTCTATTTAAAGGATGCAAAGCCAGAACTATAAGAATATCTAAGATGATTCTCTGCTATTTTTCTTTTCAAATTGAACTTTTAGGTGCAATACCTGCTAAACTGTAATACCTTCCTGAAGTATGAAACTCCAGTTTATCCCCTCTTTTGATTCTGATCTTATGTTACTTTCAGCACAACAGCTACCATAATGACTGTAATCTTCTGACAGGAAAATATATCCATTAGATTAATCTGGGTATAACACATCCTTTATATTCCAATATTTTTTTTCTGGTCTTTTAAGTGCAAGAAACACCTGAACTTTTCCTCTGGGTACCAGTGATAAAGACCAGCTAGAGAAAGTGCTAAAAAAGAGAAGGCCCCAAGTTAATAACTGTGTGAAATCATGTCACATTTTGCATATTATTCCAAAGAGACACCCAATCAGCATCTTTGATACCTGCTGCAGAATACAAACCTGTGCCAAAAAGCCCTGCAGCATTCTCAGTTTATTTCTTTCTCCACAGAAAGCCACTTTCGAACTCACTGATACTGTAATGTCTTTTCACACAGGCATACCTCAGTATTAAAGCATTATGTTTATGAGCAGTACAGAATGTTACAGAGATAAGCACACACAAGGTAGTCTCATGACCACATTTTTGCCCCCGGGCATGTAGCTATTCTATTAAGTATGGATTTAATGAAGTATTCCAAGTGCTTGAATACTACTGTGATAAGAGCAGGATGATCCCTTATCTCAACAAGAATTCAGATTTTACTCTTCACCTGTAAGTCAAGGACGCACTGTAGTTGATACTTAGCACTGCCGGAGAATGTAAATAGGTAGGCAAATAGTCATTTTCCTTAAAAAATGCTTTATTTTGCACTACATTTACTGTACTATCAGCATATCTGTTAATTGTCTATAAAGATAGCAAAGCCAGTGCTGTCAGGCTTAGAGCTGTGCAAGAACCAAGCTCCTGGAGTCTTGGGGAGTCCTGCATGGACTCAGTATGACTCTGGTCATGGAGTCCTGAATATTTTCTATTTACAGCGGGGTCACTTGGTGTCTCCATGGGCTGCACTGCGCATCAGTTCACTCAAGACACCTGACAAGTTTCTCACATGCTTCTGAATTTCTCTTGGCAATACCCTCATATCATCAAAATATGATATCACTGGGACATGACAGAAATCCCTCTGTCCCATACGATTACCGCCACAGAAACTCACATTTTAGCTTTCCTTTAACACTTGAAACACTGTCAATATCTGGTCAGACATCACCACTCTTGTCCATACTTGTACCAGGGTGGGTGCCAGGATCCCCTTGATTGAGGCCACCCAAATGAACACTGCAGAGCAGTAATTTACTGTACCGCAGTAAGCCACCCTTCATTTTATCTCCTGCTGCCATTGATACAGTGACATTTGTATTTGGCAACAGGTCGTCACGTTACAAGGCCATTAATAACCACTACAAACTGTGAGACATATTTCCATGACTTGAAGTAAACAGCTCCAGCACTCATTCATTGTAAATATACACAAACTTTAATTTCGAGGCCCTGCTCTACCTCACCACTCCAGTGAATATCACATCATTTCTGTCACTCTTATTTCCAGTTCTTCCTCCTCCCTTTTAGTTGCTTTCCTCATACTTCAACCCTGGATAGGAAGCAGTCATGTTTTCTACAACAGTATTTAATTATGTGCCTAACAGTTCTGGCAGATAGCATGTGAAAGTGGACCTGAAGACTAGAGGCAGGTGTTAAAACAAGACAAAACCACAGCAATTAGGCTCTGATTCTAATGCACACCCATGTCCTTGTCCATCCTCTGCCAGGGAAGCACACTGTGTTACAGTGGTTACAAATCTGCATCACCCCATGCAGCCTTAGTCACTGCCCTGTTCACTGAGAGCCTTTTTAACACACCTGAGACTAGTCTTTATTATCAATCCCAGTACATGACAGACATCAACTGTTCAACAGCCTCTCTGCAGAAAGGAGCTGCAATTTGTTTCCTACTGTTCGGTGACTAAAAGGAAACTATCTTTTTACCACTTCCAGAAAGAGATTCTTGTGTCAAGCTGGCTGCTGGACAGCAGATACAAAGAGTCCTGCTGTCACTGGTGGGTATTGCAGGGTGCACTGCTTGAATATCCAAATTACAGGAACAACACATTATGATTTTAAGTTCTTCCTCCCATGTTCCACTGGTTTCCAAATGAAGAAATGATGATCTTGTCATATTTGGCTATGACACTGCCTTGAATGGGGAGATGTGTCCTGATGTGACAGTTTCTCTAATAACTTACCCAGAAAGGGCTGAAGCAATGCCCTGTTGAGACAGCAGTGGGAGGAAGAGATTCATGCAGTAGTAAGAGATAGGTGTACCACTACTATAAATGAGGTGTGTAGTTTACTTTTTAGCAAGAGAATAAAAGTCCACTTTCCTCCCTACTAATACAGAACAGTGCAATTTCCAATACAAAGTTAATAATCTGTCAGTAACAACTGCAAATTACCACAGAGAATAGCTCATGATTTTGCATGATTGAAGGACATCTAAGCTCTCAAATGCTGTATGAGGAGTTGGAAGCCTGTTGCAGACAGGGGAGATGCCAGGTCCATGACTCTCAGTGCACACTCCACGAGTCTTCACTCATAGAGGGTGCTGTAGTTCACATTTAACCAAATCCATCAACCTTGAAAACTCATACTTGCATTACAGCTCAATGTACATACTACCATGGCAAGATCCTTGCTTATTAACACTGTGGGAACAACCAAAGGCTCCAGTAAGAATCAGACTGATATGTAACTTGAAACGCAGAAAGAGAAATTTTATATTTAAAAATCTTATAAGCAAAAGTAAAGAAGTGACACCCAAAGAATAAGCGCAGGGGAACATAGTTAAACAGCAAACTAGCCATAATATCTTGAAGATTTTAGACTAAATTGACAGATTTTCCTGCCTTCCTCCAAAGCTAAGTAGGGTGTCATGGTGAGAGTGGGTCTAATGGGATATCTGAAGATGAATGACTAGGTGCAGACATATGGTAGAGTCAAGAGTATCTCTCATCCCCTGTGTAGCACAACCTGGGACAACATATGGTTGCAACCACAGGCACATAGGTCATGACTCTCTTGGGCAGCCACTGGTTCCAGGTTTGAGCGTGATAACAGCATTACTGGCATTTAAGGATGGCCAGTTCTGTACAAAAGAAAAAGCCAAAGGCCCAGCTGTGTCAAATGACAGATGTGCTGAAAAAATAGGCTCCCTATATTGCACAAGTTGCAAGGACCAAGAGAATCACCAATGGTATCTGCCTGCACTTCCCCCTTGATGATGTGCAGTTTGGCAATCAGTATATCTGATATAACTAAAACGAAGCACATTTAGATATCTTAAGAGCAGTTTCCCTTATGGTTCTATGCCAAACCATGGCAATCTGCAAAATCAGATTAAAGTCGGTTAAATTTAGGGCAACAATTCTTAACTGAAATCTTCATTGTCAAATTGCTACTCTACAAGACCAATCTATTCAAGCAATATGGACAAGGGGTCTAACATATAACATATTACCATTTTTTATTCAATTGCAGCCTAAAATGAAATATTATTTTAGTGCTCAGAACAAAGGCAAAGTGCTTGTGTGAGATATAGGCCTGAAAATCTGAATAGGGCTTTTATTAGTCACTGCCTCTAATTTTTATGAAATCCTTTTTCACATTGTTAGTGTATGTTGCTGTTAAAAGTACAAGAATGATACAAACTAATTACATTGAATGCATTTCCAAATTTCTGACCCATATCGTACGTATTGTGCTTAACCAGCTGGACAAAAATACTAGTGAATTATACTGAGAGAAACAAAGCTTCCACTAAAGTGTTGTGCTGCGTGACATATTTCAGATAAGAGCATGGTGCCTTTTGGAAAATGTCAGCTATTTGGGTTACCTGTTCATCATTTGATCTAGTCTGTGTCAGTTCCATGGTTACATTGTTCACTCCATGACTCTGACTCCAATTATATCTGTTTGTCAGACAAGTTTGAAGGGGTATTCCACACGGGAAATTGCTGACAAAATTGCATTTAGGTCAGCACCTGTACTTTGGAAGAGTGTTTTTAATAAAGTTTTGAGTCCCTAGAACCATTTGTGATACAGTATATCTAATATATAGAAGCTGCAAGTACAGGTGTACCTGCTTTTGACTCTGATCTATCAGTTCAGAGAAATTAAATTTTGCTCCTTCTGAAACAGATATAAATTTGAATTGTCACAAGCAGAACTAAACACAGAAAACACTAAACTTAGTCATAGTCATCCGAATCCACATGGTTTGGAAATGAAGAAGATAAAGCTTCATGAAGAGGGCCTTCTGAGATCAACACTTGGCCTTTTCTGATGAGGACAAAAGCCCTGCTACAGTATGTAACACTTACTAAATGCTCCAAATGCTAGATATTTGTTTCCAGCTAGCTTAAACTGCAGATGTCCATGTCAACTTTTTCCCCATTACAAACAAAAGATTCATCCTAGCTCACAGCAAAGTTGAATGAATTTGAACAGGACCCTCCTTAACTCTCTATCACAAATGCATGTTGTGCAAAGCAAAACTCTTAACTTTTACTGCTGTTCTCACAGGCCCTGGCATTCCAGTATAAGCAAGATCTGCAAGGATGGCATTCCAATTGCCTAGGAAAACTGTACGTTTTCCATCACTAGAAGTCTCCAAGTAAAACAAATACCTATGAAGAATGATAAAAATTCATGTGACTCTGTAAAGAGATTAAATGGTTGATCTGACGTCCCTTTTGGATGCATTTTTTTTCTTTGATTCTTTGGTTTATGGCATAGAATTTCTACAAAATGCCAAGTCCTGCCACCAGAATCACAGAATCACATAATCACACAGAATCACAGAGTGGTTAAGGTTGAAAGGGTCCTCTAGAAATCATCTAGTCCAACCCCCCTGCTCAAGCAGGGACACCTAGAGCACATTAGGCTCAAGAGGGCACAGGATCCCAAATTCTCAACCTCATGAAAGCAAGATGTACTTGTAAATACATTCTCTACAAGTAAAATGTTCATTTAATTTATTTGGATTTCTGTAAAGTCAATGCTCTGACTGTGAACATTACGGCTACCTATAGAACACACCTTCAAATGTCACAATCCAGTACATTATTCTGGAAATCGGCTATTAACATTCGGAAAACCTCATACTTATTCCTCAGTAAACAGAACATTACTGAAACATTGGGATTGCCAAGTTTCCTCATTGCATAGCATTATTTAGTTTACTGTGGTAAGTGGAAAGAATTTTGTCTTCAAGTGCACATGTTTGAACATAAAAACACAAGCTCCAGTTTAGAACTGCTAACATAATGTGCAAAACCCCATGATGGTGACACCCAAAGATAATCTTGGGTGAAAACACCATCAGAAACAATTTTCTTAAATTGATGTTTTAAAATAAAGCAAGAAGAAAAGGGGTAGTCTGAAGCTACTAGAAGTATTAAGCATTCATACTGATGAGTTCATTAACAAGAATGTAGGGGGCTCTTCCACCCTCTAAAGTCATATCTGTGACTTTGTCCCATGATTATTTAAAATACCATAAAAAGGAGCCAGGAGTGCCTTTCATTGGACCCCCCAAAGAAACATGTTAAATGTTTTTGCATAAATTTGTAAAGTAAATTGTAGAGAAAGAAACATGCAAACATACCCAATACCTTACACATGCCATTAATACAGATATCTCGGCTATGTCTTCCCTCAAAGCAAGGAGTGCCGTCCGTGACCGCATCCAGCATCTTCTCTGAGAAATGGCCGTCTACTGGGCGACAGTGGAGCTCGCAAGGGTTAGCTGAAGGGAAAAATACATAGAAAATACCTTCTCAGAAAATATCTCAGGAGAGTCATTCAACTGTAACACATAGGGAATAAGAGTACACCTTTACTCACCACCTGCTCACTTTCCCTGGCCTAACTGCAAGCAGGTAATAAAGCTGATTCTGCTAACAGAACAGCACAGACCTGATAAATGTCACCAGGGTATTTCTACGAAGCAGCTGGTATTTGGCACCTTCATTCCCTTTTGCTGTCCATCACAAGTATGGGAACATCCAGCTGAGTGGGCCAAAACCTTCTCAAGTCACTGGGGATGGTGGAGGGGATGGGAAGGCAGCAAGAACAGCTGCCCCCTGTGAGGGGAAAGGAGTCTGGGGACAAGACTGCCAAGGACACTGATAAGCACATGCCAGCTGTGACTGAGTGGGTTTGCAGATAATTTACAACTCCCGATCAGCGTCACCAGCCTCTCGTGGGGAGCAGTGAAGCAGTTGCTTCTGATCTTTTGTATGTCACTAGAGAATCAACGAGTTGCTAATTTGCAGCTGTTTGATGGCACTTAATAAGTTACTTCAAACACTTCAGGCATTGGGATTTTTTTTCTGCTTAGCAATTTATGAAACAGGAGATGATATTAGTGGGTCTGAGTGATAATAATGTGCACAGCACTGGCGAAGGCAGAAGTGCAGCAAAGCACCTGCGAGAGCAGCAAGGCTCTCTGCTCTCTTGGTCTAGCCCACAGATGGATAGTAAAGAGCAAAACACAAAGCTGCTATGCCCCACAGGTGCTGGCCCTTGGCAGCAAAAAGCTTTGAAATTCAGCCTTGGGAGCCTCAAAGGACCCGAGTTTGAAAAATAAGTTGTATAAATTGAGGACAGCATTAGAACTACAACCAGGGTAAAAGCAAAAGGACATATTCTGTGCCCTTATGGCATTCCCCTAGAAGCCCTCTAGCAATCTAATTGAAAGAAAAAGCAGGCAGTGTCACAGTCACTGCCAATCCCAGCTAAGGAGCTGTCTCATCTTTCTGATCTCTTCCAAGACGCCAGTTTACCCAACTGCAAGAGCAATTCATTCATGCTCAGTCAGCTGAAATGCTTTGCTGAAACAAGGCTTAAATCTGCTCCAGATGCAACCATAAGAAGCCAGCCAGGAGGACTTCAAGGTACCCTCATAAAACCATTTTAAACAAAATACTCCAGTGTGCTGCAGAAGTGCCTCTGCTGAACGGTATTTTCACCGTGCACTTGACTGAACTAACAAATGCCCCTCTGTTGCATCCCACCCCCTTTGGGGGATGAAGGATTGAGGATTAAGTCAGGGCCCTGGAACAGGCTGCCCAGAGAGGTTGTGGAGTCTCCTTCTCTGGAGATCTTCCAAACCCGCCTGGATGCCACCCTGTGCCACGTGCTCTGGGTGTCCCTGCTGGAGCAGGGGGTTGGACTAGATGATCTCTAGAGGTCCCTTCCAACCCATTCTGTGATTACTATATATCTTCTATGTTCTGGCTAATGATTTTCTCTCTTTCCTCCCTTTTCCCCTTTGTTTCTCTTCCTTGTGTCCTAGAAGAACGACATTTAAAATTGGAGGCACTTAAAGCAGAAAGAAATGCATTTAAAAATGCATTCTTTAAAAAAAAAGATTAATTTTATTTGCATTAGCGTAAAAGGGCTTCTGCCTTTGAAGGGAGAAATGCAGTTTTGTTGCTTTTGTTTGTAAAGCACCAGATATACTGCACCATACAGCACACTAAAGTCACAGCAGCTCCTGCCCAAACTACTTGTAACTCAAAGACTGAATCCTACTGAAATTCTAAGTTTGAAAATCAATGATCTCATTCACAAAAGCATTATTTTTGCAGGATTGGAACCTAAAAGAACATTAAAAAGGGACACACCAGGAAATCCTAAACCTTACAGGGAGGTAAGTTGTGTTTTTGCTCTCCCAAACAGAAGTAATGAGAAAGTGAAAACAATGAAGAACTTGTAGCTTCTCAAATAAGACAGAAGTGCTTTCCTCTTTGCTGGGGCAGCAAAGAGGTTGGAGGCTAAGGACTGAGGTTATGAAACTACAGGAATTCCAAGTCATGTGAGTCATATTCAAGAACAGTGACAAAGATGGAGTTATAAAAGGCTTCAAAGCAAGAACAGTAAATGGACAATCCTTAACAGTCCTCAACTGCTCTGTGAGGACTGCCAACCATAACAGCTGTTAGCGGCTTTGATAAGAACTGTCATGATAAAATTAATTTCCCTTTTCTCTGGAGAAGTTTTTTCTGGCCAAGTGGCTAAATTTCAAGACCTCAGTGCTATTTTATTTGCCCTCTCACTGTGCTCTTTCTCCATCACAAAGCAAATGGAAAGAAGGACAGAAGTGCTGCTAGCCTGTTTCCTGCTCTGAACTGATGCTGCCCAGTGCAGACTTTGCTCAAAGCCATCGCAGCTTCCCCATCGGTCGTAACAAAATAGGCACAGCAACAGTTTGATATCTGCCCCTTCTCCCTACCTGTGTGCTGACATAAAAAGCAAGATGGTATCCAACTTCATTTCAGAAATCACTGAAAAGTGAAAGAAAAAAAACATGCAGTTCTGTCTGCTGACATATTCCTGTCATGACTAGGATGGTCTAGACACATAACTTGGAGAAAGGTCATAAGGAAAGATAATCTCCCTTACCAAGGCAACTGATGTGGTAAAAACTAAATAACAAGCAAACTTTTAGACTCACAAGCCTCATGATTCAAAGAAGGGCTTCCTAGGCTTGAAAGCCTTCCTGTTCTAACTGCAGTAGCTGGTCCAAACAGAGCTCCTAACTTCCCTCCCCCCGCCACAGATCTTGTGTTACTTTTATTTTCCCCTCTCTGTTTTCTATGGAACCCAACCAAAAATGAGGGCACCTCTGCTCCCGTCCCACAGACTCAACCCTATCCAGTATTTTACACTCTTGTCATCATTTGCAAAGCTATTTTGCTTTTGGCCCCACAGAAAACTGGTTAGGGCACAACTGAGGAAGTTATCAAAACACTGTATTAGCCATTCCTTTCTAAAAATATTTTTCTATTACTGTTTCTTACAGCTGAATCTCACCCAAGATCAGGGCTCCATTACCCTTAGACTACAAATATTTTAATCCTGAAAAATTTAAAAGACTAAAATAGGATCAATATTAAAATTATGGTTTCTTAGAATAAATTCTTTAAAGCAGCTCATTTAGCTTTTCTTGCTTCAGCAAATATCATTAATGCATGATGAGGCTCTACCAAAGACACTGGCATCCTAGTTACTTTTAGACAAAAATTTACAGAAATTCATGCAGTCCAGCACACACATGAAATATTAGATCCAATCCATAAGCACTCTGAGTTTTAATTTAAACAGGGTTTGATTGCTGCCTGAATAAAGCCTAAGGAGTTTTAGTCCCTCCCTCTACACAAAAGTAGGATCGGGTACACTTAGACTTTCCATAGTGATAATATTAATCCCTCCTAAATCGTAATTTGTAAACTAAGGGCCCTCACATCTTTTTGCCTGTCACTGCTTGTCCTACCTCCTGTAGGCACAAGGACACAGAACTGGTTGTGGCTGCATTGCTTCCACCCCTGAGCACACTGCATAGAGCTACTAGAACCTACTAGCATGCACCTCTGCTAGCTCGAGGACATGCATGGAATATATAGAAGTGTGCTTAAAGTATCTGGCTTTTAACTCAATCTTCTCAGGCCTTCTGAAAGGCCTGCTTTTGAGAGCACAGGAAGCTCTGGATTCATGATCTATAGTGCTTTTGATTCATGATCTATAGCACTTTTTAAAAACAGACTTTCAAAAACAACTACACATACAGGATTACCAGTTCTGTCAGCACTGTCCTTGGGGGGATGCTAACTTAATCAAGGCTGTACCCAGCAAGAGTACTTATAAGCTATAAGGTTTTTTCAGTCTTTCTCATAAGCAATGTTTATCTATTTTGTCTTTTACATCCTTCTTTGTCAAACTTCCCCCACATTTGTCTGCCTCATTCCTGCAGTGCAGCACTCCTAGCTGACCTTAGATTTTTAGTGACAGCAACACTCAGTGGATTAGAAAAGTGATGTCCTCTATTTTATATATTCTGCCCTCTTCATGTGCCAAGATTACATTGCTGATCTGAACAGGGACCAGATCAATCCTTTGATATACAGGGGAAAAACAAAAACAAACAAACAAGGTACAATAGAATACCAAGCAGCAGAGCTCCCATAAATGCCCAATGATTTACATGGAATTAGAATGGGATCAAGGAAGGAGGCAAGCATAGTTGAGTAATATTCCTAAAATTAAGGTGTGGGGGTTTATTTTCTGTCTATATTATGACAAAATTCAGATTCAGCAAGTATAAACAGAGCAACATGCAGCCAACCAGGAAAGAACACACTCATTTCTCAGAGCAGAAATAGTGAGTTTAAACTTCTTCCTTCACAGCTGAATCTTATGAGTTTGTATGCAGGAAGAATCCACCTTACTTGGCTGAGAGGGATGTGATTAATGTGTCTGCCTGCAGAAGATAAGGCCTCAGCATTTCTTCTCTTACACAAGGAATAAAAGAGGTGACCCTATTTTCTCGAAGCCTTTGCCTCTCTGCATCTGTGAGAACCCAATATTTGATGAACAAATTCAAAAGTAAGGAACTTTTTCCTTCTATGAATGCACAGTTTACACAGCAGAAAGTGTCATGTAATTAATAACTGTCAAGACGTGCTTCATTGGAACTGGGTTACGGAAGCTGCGAAACAAAAGCAAGAAGAGACAATTATGATCATCTAGGTTTCTTTTACCATTTACTGTTTGCCAAAAAGGATGAAGAAATACTGAAAAGATTACCAGTATCTAGAAAGTTTCTAGTGCATTTTCAACTCCTTGCCTAAGCACTTCCACACAAAACCATAACACACAGTCAGGGTTTGGGAAAACTTCAGAACATTTTCCTTTCTCCTGTATCACACGCACAGTGAGGGAAAGCTTGAAAATGCCTGCTAATAAGACATAAGCCAAAACCATCTTGACAGCAAGTTAACATGGTAACAGAGCACTCTGACCAGTCTTTGAAATTAGATGGCATTAGTTATGCAAAGTGAAGGAAAGCAAGCTGATATACACTGATGAAGGTTGATGGACATATGGTAGACATGGTCATTCAGTCTCCAAAGCCTTCTATGCTGCAAAGACTGTGTTGAATTTCTTGAGTAATCCTGTTAATCACGTCTTATGGCATGTGTATTATGCCATTACAATGGTTTGGCTTTAGTATCTTTCTCCAAGTTTTACTTTCCTAGACATTTATAAACAGAGAAAATAGAGATAATTTAATTTCCCTTGGACATCTTTAGCAACTTACTGGAAAGTGAGAGAAAACTGCAGTCTGAGACAGCTGGAAACCTGCCAAGTGCACCTCAGTGTCACAGCTGGACAAAGCTGGAAGCCACGAGCCCACAAGAGCCATCCTCCGTCATCAGCATCCATACAAGGAAGCTGATACAGGACTAGCATAGGACTCTCTGCCCAGAGGAGTGCAGGCAGGAGACCTCACCTGTCCGTGCCAGGATTCTTCTAAGTTAGAGTTCAGCAGCATGAAAACACTTTGGATGTTCTTAATGGATCAATAAGAATAAAGTTGCAAGCATTACAAATTACAAACAGACCTTACAAATCCCAAGGCAGCAAGGTGACTCCAGACTAAAATCCTGGCTGCTAAGGCAGAAAGCCTTTCACTGAAGAAATATCTGCTTGGTATTTGAAGGATCTGGCAAAAGGTCACCAAACCCAAATGTTCCAAATGAAATATTTCAGGCTCAACAAACAAGCATTTTTAATGCAAGTGTATTATCAGTAAAGGTATAACCAGGTCTGTTTGAAATATGGCAGAGAGATCATCCTAGGCCTGTCTTTCAGTGCGCAGGAAGCATTTGATTCATTGTCTACAGTGCTTTTGATTCATGATCCATAGTCCTTTTTAAAGGCAGACCTTCAGCAATAAATGCACAGACAGAATTACCATCTCTGTTAGCATTGCTCTGAAGAGGACATTAGCTGAACCAGGGCTGTACGCAGCAGAAATGCTCATATGAGTAACAGAGAGGAATGGAATCCCAGATTCAGTGACAGGGGACTGCAGAAAATAATTTATGTTTGGCTTTGGATTAAGCCCTAGGCTTTTAGCATTTACTATGTTTTGTTTACTGAATGGTCATCTGAAAGTCTTCTTCTATCATCCATATTTTCTCTGATCAGAAATTCTTCTGGAATGTTGTGCCTAGCTTTACCTTCAATTATGTATTTACTATATGGTACTGAGGCTTGTACCTAGGATACCTACTTAATGTCATCAGTAACTATGAAATTGCAACAAATATGGCAGAAAAATAATATTGGCAAATGAAATTGAAATGTGAATCTTGATCTTCACTGCCTTATCTGGTTTATATTCTCTTGGAGAAGTTATTTTTATAGCTTTTACTGGATAATCCACTCCTGATAGGTATGCATTCACCATGAATTAAGCTTTATGCTAATAACTGCTACCCCTATATTTAATAACTAGTTATTACAAGTCAAGTTATAAGGCAGAGATAACAGTCCCATCTCTGCAATACAGAGCTTGCTGAGGTATTATTTACCTGCATTGTGCTGGGAACACTTCCCATGCAGGTCTGAGTACAGACTAGTAAAGTTAGTTAGTTAAATTTAGTTAAAGACTAGTTAAAAACCTCATAGACATTATTGCTAGAGCTTTCTGAAAACATCAGTGTGCAAAGCAAAACCAGTGCCCTCATGTATACATATCAGGCACAGGAGAGTATGGTCACAACTGACTTTTCTCTAGTTAATTAAAGAATTGTAATTCAGTGACTTCTCTTCCTCATAGAGGTTTCCCATCTGTCTGCAAATTTCACTCTTAAGATACTCAAAAATTCATAGCTTTGTACCTGTGTTGTAAACTGGAACCCAGTGGTAGAATTCGTTCTGGTAGGGAACTGTGTCAAACTCACTACATTGCATCTGACGAAAAGTTGGCATATTCTTGTGACAGGGGCTAATGTTACACACGCGATAGCGCTTCCTTTCTCCAGTGCAGTAGTCTCCTCCAAACTGAGGTCTAGAAAGGAAGCATTGAGATCAGGCATGTGAGATCTTCAGCAAAATGAAGTTTTAACCTTTGCATTTTCTAATAGTATCAACTATATAACAGTGTCTTTTCAACAGGTTAACAAGGTGAATCTGAATCCTTGACAGGATAGAGACACTCTTTATTTGTTCAGGTATCCAAACAGGACAGCGTGGAGCACAACAACCTAGAAGGAGCACAACAAGCTGGAAGCACAGAGCTACTTGCTTGGCCTTATTAAAGAAGTGAAAGGAAAAAAAACAATATCCAGAATGTCTTTAAAATCTTATCAGAACAACCAAGTAAATTCGCCTCTTAGGCATCCCTGTAGCAATTTTTGGAAACAAGATATAAGGTCCCTACGCACTCAGCTGTATGTTAGATAATTCTGCCCTTGGTCTTCCATACCTATTGACCCAAATACCTAAAGCTACAAACAGAATAAAACATGACAGGTCGGGCCTTGACTTCCCTTACTAACACATCACTAGCCATTATTTCCCCACAGTGTTCAAGGGCATTGTATTTATTCAAGGCAGTATTATTAAAGCAACATTTCTAATATCTACGCAAAGCTTGCAAGCCAGGATTTTTTTTCATTGTATGTAGAAGTAAGCTCCTTGGAAGATAAAGATTAATTAAAGAGATAAAGCTTATAAAAACTGAGCCAAGTGAATTTTACACAGAGATGTTTAGCTGAGGAGGAGAGGTGTTCAAAAACTGCCTTGATCTAGCAGCTGGTGATAAAATTGTATCATAAAAAAAGGGTCCCTCGAGACTTAAGTATCTCAGATCTTGATTAAAAGGAATGGAAAGATTGTACAGTCAACTTACTCTGGGTTATTGCATGGTCTCTCTGCACTCTGAATTCCTGCCCCACATGTCCTTGTGCAATGTGACCAGGATGACCAAACACCCCATCCACCATGGACTGCTTCTGGAGTCTTGCCCACTGTAATGCACTCACCAGAGAAGCACCACTTAGAAGAAAAAGGGCAAACAGTTTAGGATAAGTATCACAGAAAATCATAACTGCAAATAATCACTGTAAATAACCATGAAGGTTAAATCTTCAGTGGAGCTTTGAAAGAAGATGCCACAGGATGTTCTCTCTTTTACCCAATGGCAGAGCTATTCATGGTATTCCTGCATGGAAGCTCAGTCACCTTGTTTTCTCCACATCGAGTGCCATCTGCAGCAGCATCCAGTTTGGAGCGGCAGGAGCCTTTCACTGAGCACCAGAGTGTTTGGCAAAGATTCTGGAAAAGGAAGAAAGAAAACTGCAGTGCTCTCAAACATGCCTAAAGCCAGAAATTTTCAAAAGTCCCCGACGGTTTTATATATCAATTTGCAAAGCTCTACGAGAACTGTATTTCCAGAGATAGATGTTCAGTTTTTGCAAATTAGGAGCCCTCAAGGGGTCAAATTCAGATACTCCTCACATCTGCACATCTATGGACTTTAATAAACACAAAACAGTGAATATTTTGTATTAAGTGGGTTAACCAAACTGTGTTTGTAAGTTTAAATGATCTCCTCATTCACTGCTCAGCTCCCAGCTACAGACAGGGAAAATGACTTTACAAAGTTTGTGTACTACTGTTTATAGTGTAGGCAGATGGAGCCTGTATTATTTTCATTTGATGACTACTAAATGAATACAATGTTTAATTCTGTCTTGTCGTCTGCCTGAAAATACGAACACTGAAATCAAAGAAAGTTAGAGAACCCATCCAGTAAGCAAAAACAATACTCTTCTTCCAAGTGTCATCAGGTTCATGTCCTTCAACTCTCAAAACCAGATAAACAGATCTAAATGCACCGCACTCAAGACATCAATGATGTCAAAGCAGCTCTCTAGAACAGCTGGCAAGGGAACAAAAGCCCAGGAGCCTGGGAAGAGCAAAGGCTTGGGCTGATGAAGGCTGGCACAGCTTATAAACAGAACATGCATTTGCAGAAATCCAGCCCTCATAAGCTAGCAAAATCTGGATGAGTTTGAAATCCCCAAATTGGCTGCTGCTTTCTGGCCTACTTCTATTTAAAACAGCTAAGCTCAGGCACAGAGTGGCATCTCCAAGCACTCTATGCTTCAAGTTGGACACAGTATCTGGGGCTTTGCATCTCTGCTCCTCAGCTGCTTCCTGGTGATGGGCACATGTTGGAGGTTGCCTTGCAGCTCCCTATGTAGAGTTGAAGAGTAGCACTACTTATCAACTGTTTGGGGAGGCATCATTATCAGGAGGTAAAGGCAGAGCTACTCAAAGGTTCTTGCTGATGTATTTGCTTTTATTGGGAACTTCATGCTTATTTTTAACTATTGTATACAAAATATCTTTGTGCTTTTATTGTATGAAGTGCATCCTCCACAGTATTTCAAATGCCCAGAAAAGGCCACTGAGTAAAACTGTGGGTTTAAACTGAATGCAGTTGCATGCTTACCCTGTGGACATGATCAGTTTCCAAAATCAAGCGTTTATGGAGGAAGCTTATAAAGTTAAAAAAAAAAATCCATTTTAATCCTCATGCACCAGGGCTTTTCTCCATATTTAAGATTACTGGAATATCAGCAAGGAAAGAAAAAACTTTGTTCATTCCTTGATTTTAAGGGGAATATTCAGGAGTTCTTGACTAACATGGACTCAGTGTAAGGATTTTATCATCATCCATACAGTAAACACCCAAACTCTGAAACCAGAATCTGTGCCTTAAGGGAAGGCCGCTCTAAACAATTCCAGACCTACTAAACTGATTGAAAGTTCTGCAGATAAGACCAATAAGATGAGAATTCTGAATTCTTACAGTCTTTAGGGAGGTATGGATCCATCTACTTTATCACTTGGAACATTCAACCCCCCAAATTATATTTTGTTATTCTTTTCCTTACTGGAAGGACAGTATTTACATATTTCACATGATGCTTATAGCACTAACAGCCTAAACAGTTTGTGGAAATCTCCGTGTGAATTCTAAACCGTTTTGTTCAGTGTAATCACTGAACTCTTGGGCATCTTCAACTAAATGCAAACTGTTATCTCAAAAAGAACCTGTGGATAAAATTCGACTACACATGCAAACATTAGAAGCTATACATAACTTGGTCAGTATTGAGTGTTAAGTAAACAGAGACAAGTCAAAGAATTGTCAGACTTTTTAACCAAGTGACTGACTGTATTGACTGTCCACTATGCCAGGCAGATCACACTCATCACAATTCCTTCTTGCCAGTGCAGCTACCTGCAAAACACAGGCCTGGCACTAAAAGCTATACTAAAATAATACCAATTTACTGAGTTTTGCTGAGCTCTAAATTGGCTAATCTGGAGATGGTGAATGTAAAGGCCTATTAGGTTCACACTCAAAGAGAGACAGAATGAATAAATATTACAAAAATCACACTTTAATTTTCTATCTGTACCAACAAATTGCAGCAGCCAAGAAAACTGGAACAGCAGGTAATGAAAGCAATAAATGCTTCAGATTCAGGCAACGCAGTTCATTGCTAATCATTACAGCTGAGGAGATAGATTAGTCATAAATAATTCCTCTAACAAGGGGGTAGATGAGGACACACAATTATCATAACAGAACAAATAGTCCAGATCTACAGTCCTCAATCCACAGCTGTATATAATACCTTGCCTAAAACTCACTCCAGCATTGCCAAGGTACCCCACCTGCCCTGGTCCTATCTAGCAAGGAGAGCAAACCAGGATACTGCCTGCAGCATTTAATGCATCTGTTACCCAACAGCCAGTAAAACTTAGTGGTCTCTTAGTGAGATCAGCATTTGGAACCACAGTTTCTGAAGTGTCCTTCTATGTAGCATAAGGCTGCATGGAGCTAAGTAACTAGTTATGATAGTACAGCACTATACCTTAGCAAATTTAACCTGTTAACTCTGCAGTGCTTCCTGGGTCTTGCAGGGAGTTGTGCTCATGTGGCTTTCGTGTTCACACGAATCTCTGCACAGTGCTGTCTTGCTCTGCTGCAAAGATGAGCCCTACAAAGCCAATACTGGACTATCTAAACTACCCACTGCCAGATGAGATTAAATGTATCTAAATACAGATTTATATAGAAATTTTTATACCTAATTTCTATAAAGATTCTTATGAATATCTATGTTTAACTCGATAAAGATTCTTTGAGATACACAGACTGAAATTTCATTTGTCAGACTATCAAAAATGTGAAAAATCAGGATAGAGAGCAAAAGAGCAATGCCATAGTTTTTTTTTTCTTTTTTTTCCCCTCTAGATAACTTTTCCTGGAAGTGAAGATTTGTTCCTAATGGAACAAATCATATGAAAGCTATAATATTAAAAAGCATCGTATTTTGAAAAACAGGACTTAATATCTGCTGATAATTTGGTTAAGAGTGATACAATAAGTTTAAAACCAAAATCATTTCTGAAGGGCATCTCAACAGGCATGAGGCCAGATCCCACAAAGGACAAGGCATATACAAGCCAAACAGGGCAACATCTCACTTTTGGGATCTCCAGGCTAGAATCAAAACACTCCGTAAGGGTATGTCTTCACTACAAAACTCTGGGTATGCTACAATTGTATTTAACAACTAAGGTTCACCAGCTGCACTTCCACACTGTTCAAGAAGATTAAGCTCTCATTAGTACAATGAGGAAAAACACAGAGCACTTACATCCACATCTTCACAGAAGGTTGCATTGGAACCATACTGAAGCTGGCACTGGTGATGTACATCATAAATTACGCCAGGAGCAATGACTGGGGACTTCAGAACTTTTTTTTGGGGTATATCATCCAAACAGAATCCCCAGCCTCGGCTAAAAGATTAGAATTGCAAATTAATAAAAACAAAAAGACATCTTTAAAATTTTTTTTCTTTTTTTTTTTTTTAATATTGACTTTCACTATCTAAGTATTATTAATAATTCTTGACATGGCCTTTGGTAGTTATGCTTCCAGATTCCAGCTAATCTAAACTGAAAGTGTTGCTAACAAAGAATATTAATTTCTCATAAATCACGGAACTTTAGAGAGTACTAAAATATTTGAAAAACCACAAGCTGCCTGCTCAGGAACAGCTCAAGTTTCCGAAACAATACCTGATAACAACAACTTGGAAGAAGAACCAGTGAAGTCTAAAAAAGCAAAGGAATCTATGTGGTCCTTGCACTTGTGGATGGCCCCAGTACTGAGCACCTCTCAGCTGCTATCACCTCCGCCTATACCTGACAAATGACCACTCTCTAGCTGGCACAGAGTTTTACAGGGACAAGATCTAACCTGTCAATTTGGAAATATCATGAAGCCATTATTGTTTGCAGGGTGACTTCAAAACATACTGCAGCGTCTGCTCAAAGCTATATCATAGTGCTGCTATTAAAATATATATATATATATATATATGAATTTTGAAAAGTTACTGAAGTCAAGCCCATGTTGTGGCCAACAAAAACATCTTTAATGTTCCACCAGAGTCCTAGACATAAAGGCTGTAACTGTAAGAAACTGCAGGATGCACCAAGCCTGAGCTGACACAAGACTGCAGTTTTAGAAATCGAAGAAATTAGGGAAAGCTCCCAAATTACTCTACAATAAAAATGAATCTAATAAACTCTGCATAGGTGTCTTATATACAGTTGTGCTCCTCTCAGGGAAGTGCTGCACCCTGCTCACTCACTCCAGGAAGCGTGTGATGTATTCTTTGCTGCACTGAGACCAGGTGAGGGGAGTGGGATCATACTGCAACTGCCGGGACATAATATATGGATGCTTTCCAACAGGCTCACAGTCATTCTCTTTTCCATCGTGCTGGATACCAAAGCTAGAGATAAAAAATTAGAGTTAATAAATAATTATATGACTGGTTATATCACAACACTCCTCTATAGCAACAGTATGTGTACATAATAGAGTTGCTTCATCTTTTGGTTAGCTATAGATACCTCTTTGCCAAAAAGTATACAAAAACCACAAAAATTCTAGGCTCCAACAAGCTTTCAAGCAGATCTGTTAAGCAAAGCAGTAATATCAGGTAGAAAACAAAGAACACAGTGTCTGAGACCATCTTGGTAGTATTTTAACAGAACCAGAACGCTACTGCACAACTTGGATGGATTGAAGCAGGCAGTTCAAAGCACAAGGCTATGTCAAAGCTGTTAGAACTAAGAGCACTTCCTAGTACTCCAGTCCCAGAGACACTTCTTAGGAGTTTTCAGTTCTAACAGTCCTCCAGTTTCTCAGGAATTTGGTAACTCATTACATCTGCTCTTCTTTCCCTTCTTCACTGCCCATGATAGGGAAGAAATCTTCAGTGTCTTCTAGCTAGGTCTAGAATCCCTTTCTTCACCTGATCTTCGGGTCAACTGTTGTAATTTGGCAATCAGTTTTTTAAAACCCAGATATTCAAGCTTTATTTCCAAAGCGACATGTTTTAACACCTTGCTGCAATGTACATTTGGTAATGATTCAGAAGGACAGGTCACCATTGGAGTGATTAAGCCTTGCTTCCTCCAGCACTCTCGCCTACTCCTGACTGGGCTAAAATCTGCCTAGCATAGGATATCTGATGAAACTGTGCAGACACAGGACACTGGTAGTGGCCGCTTGCAGAGGCTAAATAAAATGCTAAGGCAAAAAGCAAAACTTGTTCTTAAAATTCCTAACTAGATTTTACTATTTGTTCCTTTGCCTAACGACAAAGCAATTCTATCGACTAGCAAAGTTATTTCCGACTCTCATTACTTTAATTAAGACCAGGTTTTGTTACAAACTGTCTTAAACTGTTTACAAACATGCCTTTAATGCTTGTTTCTCTTCTAATCCCTTTGCTGGATTTGGACAGAGACACTGTTTTTCCACATTGCCGAATATACAATGAATTCACCCCTACTCCTGCTTACTATTTAACTGTCTCATACTGTGCCTTAGAAACAGGACGACAGTCCTCCACAGCAGGTCTTCCCAACCTGGTGTTCTCAGAGAGCTGTGACTTAGTTAAGAGGTTTCTTTATTCAACAGCCTACTGAAAAGGCAACAGACCTAGATACCTGCACTGTTAACATCTCAGTTTTCAGCTCACTACTTAATTGAGGACCTACATCTGACAGTGAATGATTTCAGCATTATGTTATTAAACTACCTCCTTTCTGGCAATAGAGAAAGACCAATTAATGGTCGATAGGATCAATATTTAAGTAACCCTTTTATCACAGTTTATATCCTGACAGGAAATCCAGTCTTCATTTTGATTAGCGGTTAGGTGCATAATGAATGTTATACGGATGCAGATATAGCAATGAACAAGTTCCCTGGCCAAGGAGCATGGCCCAGCTGGAAAAGCAACTAAAACACTCCCTCAATTCAGAAATATTGAGGAAACAAATTTCTAGCAAAAAAAATCCAAACACACAAAAAAAATAGTCATATCAAACTAAATGCACAGGAACTTGACCTAAGTGAATCCATAGTGGAAATATTAATACACAGAAGTTGCCCATTTATTAAGAAAACTCTAAAGAGACTCTGTTCGTTAGTAACAAATATCCAATTGTTTCCCAACTAATCTCTTTTTAATGCACCATGCAACAGTTGTTATTGCAAAGAATTACCTCTACAAAGATAAATGAGGCATAAACATTCTCTTTATTAGGATCGGCTAAAACAAGACTCACAAGCTACTTTTTTGGGGGGTGGGTGCAGATGGACTAATGGCATTGGTTTGAGGGGAAAAAAAGAGATCTGAACAGTGGTAAACAAAGAATAAATCAAACCCAGCTTAGTCCCTCTTCACTTTCAACTATACCTGTGTCCAAGTTCATGGGCAATAGTGAATGCCAGTGGAAGGCCAGAATCTTCATTAATGTTGCAGCTTCTGTGAGGTTGACACATGCCCGAGAGATGAGACAAACCTAACGTTTCACACGGACGATTCATGCCAGCACAAATGTCCTTTCTATAAGCACAACAAAGACTTTCCCTTAGCAGAGTTTAAAAACAACTGCAGAATGTCACTTACACTGGGTGACAGCCTCTGTCTCCCCACTAATCTCCCCAACATTAATTGGTGTTGTTATTACTTTTATAAACATATCTGCAACAACATGCACTGGTATTGCTATTACAGTATTATACTACTGTCATTTAATGGGCAATATTTATGTTGTGCCTCAAAATAAATATTTATTCTCAACTTGCGTAAGAAAAAGCTTTCAAATTTCCACCTTTAACAGCATTATGATAATAGGATATCTGAAGTTTGTTTGTGCATTCCAGATAGTACATGGCATGAAGAATTTTCTCTCTTCTCATTCTGCACAGGGATTCACGTGAATCAGGAGGACAGATTTACCTCTAAAGATCCTTTCTTGCCCCCTTTGATTTGCCACTAACTTTGAGCAGAATTTCCCCAAGTCTCTGTGGTGGCTTCTGAAAACACTTTTAAGAAAGCTCTGTCTTTATGTTCTAGGCCTGAGGCAGCCTCTCCTCAGGAATGGGACTCACTTCAGGCAAGGGGCAGCTGATGTCCTGCTGCAGAAGTGGCCCAGGCTACTGTGGTGCCCAACTCCCTGTAAGCTGCTTATGCCAACAGTTTTCTTCCCCCAGCTGCAGCTGCTTCCCTAAGGAAATCTGTGAATTAGGCTGCTTCACTGCTTCACTGCCAGGATTAAACAACTGAGTTGAGGTTGCAACTAGGCTCTTTAGCCAAAAAAAAAAAAAAAAAAAAAGTAGCTGCAAGCTTTCTAGTCTGCTAAAAGAAATGAAAAAGAGCAATATGTGTTTTGCCCCTGGGCAGGAAAAGCATTAATCCCAACCCCAAGATTCATAAACTATCAATAAGAAAATGAGAGAGATGCCCTGTTCAGGCTGAGGAGAGTAAGGGGTGCATAGCCTAATCCCAGCCTGCAGCTGTAGATCAGCCCAGGGTGAGAGAGTTAAGCAGAACAAGGATTTACATCCTGTATATGTAATCTACCCAGTAATCTACCTAACCTCTGTTGCAACTGAACCTCAACTTCATTCAATTAAATAGTTTGAATGAAGCCTGATCGGTTGCAGAAGTAAACAGTTCATTGAGACTTCTTTTTCTCATTCTTGTTTTAACATTTACTGACCCTCTTCTTTATCACACCACTTTGCCTTTTGTGTTTATTTGTTATTGGGTTTTTTTTTTTTGCCTGACAGACTCTTTTGTAGCTAAAAACTTTTCCTTTTTTTTCCCCCTCTCATTTATTTGTTGAAAGGCCACTGACTTAGTCTTTCCTTCCAGTTGTGTGCTGGCAGGACCAGTCTTACTGACTTGTCCAATTTCTGTTTCATGCCTTGCCACAAACTCCTTGTGTAATCTCAGTCAACTTTTCTGTGCTTCGATTCCTTACACTAATAAAATATTTTGTCTCTGTTAAATATCTTTAAGTACCACTTATATCCATAAAAACTACAACTTATAGCTTAAATATAAGTTGCGCCATTTTCACAAAGAATACTTCCCCTCTGAAGAGCATCTCTATTATTTTAGGATTTGTCGTTATGTAATGTTCACCTCCATGCTAGATTGCTTTGGTATATTCCCTTAATGAAGAAAAAAGAAATGACTAAATAAGATATGATCAAGTGGGAAAAATGATGGAAGATCCTTTTGTTCCCAGGAGATAGCTAATCATCAGGGGACACAGATCTCAATTTCCTGACTTAAACACATCGCCAATAAAACACCCACATACATACGTAACGCACATATAGTACTTTGAAAACAAATGAAAAGTAGCCCTTTTAAAAGGTACAGTGGGTCTAACCTTAACCACATGCTTTCATATTGCAGATCGTGTATTCCACCTACATGAATGCTACACACACTCATATGAGGTTATTTTTGTATTAACATTGTGTTCCAGGAAAGGCACATCTTTATCAGATATGTCTCTTTACAGGGTTCAGAGCAGGATGAACTAAGAGACGATATAAGCCTATAAACAAAAAATACCATCAAAAGGAACACAGTTGAACAACAGTGTTGCCATTCATCTGCTGAACTGCTCTGGTACCTGGTTAGGAGGACAGCCACATCATGGTGCGCAGGGTTGACATCGCTCTTGGGGTTGACGCTCTTTTGCCATTTGCAGAAGCTGGCTAATGTTTTATCAGCATGGTGGACTATCTTCAAGCCTTGCTAATAGGAAAAGAAAGAGAGTGTTATTGTAAAGATGACACTGCATTGCAATTACACCTCAGTGTCAGACAATAGCTGTGAAGCTGGGTAAAATGCAATTGATTACAGTTTTGCCTGAAGGGAGAGCCTTCCCAATGAACAATGACATTATTTATCTAATATCTTGAATACTAAATTAAAATGGTGTTAGCCTGTGCTGCTAAAGCAAAAATGCAGAAATTAATATTTTTGGTAAGTAAGCTTCATAAAACCCAAAACTGAGCAGAAAATTTCCAACAAAAATATTTTCTCCTTAAAGCGAGTTTTCCTCTTGGTATAAGGAAGTTAAAGATTAATTGGTCTACAACTTCAGGTCTGTCACTCAATGCTGTATGAGAACAGTTAAGAAATTATTTACATAAACCACACATTTAAGGCTGCACTACTTTCACAATATTTCTCAAGTGCATAAAGAAACAATGCAGTTTATAGATCTTTCTTCCCTATTTTATGATTATATAGCACACATTCAAGTTACGTGTCTTCTGTGATATAAAATAGGAAAATATGCTTCCATATGGCATCCATTATATCTTGCCTCAGCTTATTTAAGTAAATGTTTTTACAAAGCATCTAAACATTCAAAACCAGATCTTAAATTTCAGAAATATCTTAATACTAGATTTTTATCTCCACTGATATCCACTGATACTCCACTGTTGCTTCCAACACTGCCACACTCAACTTCGCAGGAATTTTTGTTCATTTTCAAAGCTGCTACTGAAATTTAGCAACTACCTTCTATTAATAGATACTGTGAACTTACGATCCTAACTGTCCTGTTAGAAAGGAAAACATATCTTTGCCTACATATCCTTACACCAAGAGCTATCTGTGTAAATTAGACTCTATTCTAATAATTATTCCACAAGGCATAGGCTACCTCCCATGCCTTCACTGCCTTCAATAGCTTTGGATGTATTTGGCTTAAACCATAAGCCACTGAAGACAACCCCCTCACTGTGCTCCTGCAGCCAGTGCAGGTTACACTACGCAGTGTTTTAAAAAGTGACTAATAAAATGGTAACAATCTGCACATATTTAAGCATGTAACACATTATTTGTGAATGACAGACATAGCCAGTCATTAATTTGTTGTTGGCTTAGAGCAATTAGCATCTACTTAGTCCTTGTTTTGGAGTTTTCAAAAAGATTTGCAGAAGGAAATGTACATGTATTTTTGTACAGCTGCAACATACTACTTCAGAGACCTGTAAACACACTTGCATTATACTTTGCAAATACAATTCAGGTAACACTGGGTGATTAGACTGTGAGTGATAGCACATACATTAATTTGTTTCTCATCTACTATTCCTCCTCAGCCCATATTTGTTTCACGCTTGGGAGATTCCATTTCCCTCTTCCTAATCATCTTATTTTCATTGCATTCTCTATGGGGATTTTACACAGAAACACCTGAAGTCATAAGCTAAATACTGCGCTATCCAAGATAGCATTTATCCTAAAAACAGACATTCTAAAGCCAACAGATCAACAGAAGAACCAAATGAACAAATTATTTCAAGCAAACAAACCCTCCTCTCCCTAATTAAGCCTCAGAAGATTCAAATTCCAAGTTTCTTAATTGACTTTCTGAGGAAAATAAAATCCTTACCTCCTCCTCCTCAAAAAGGATGAGCCGAACCAGCACAATGTGAATTGCATTGCCAATACTCGGATCATGGAACAGCCCTGTGACCTGTGCCAGAGCCAGGAGGTATGAGATTAACTGAATCCTCTAGAGTAAAACAGAACTTCAGAGAGAAAATATGACGTTTACTTTAAGCATATCTTTGCCTTTTGTGGTTTTCTTTGCTTGCTTTTATCCTCAACACCCTTCATTGAAAGTTGCACTGAACTTCAAACTTCCTGACAAACAGTAGCAGAAAACAATATCTACTACCATTCAATACTAACGGCGAGGTCCACTCAACGTACAGAAGAGCAGCATATCAAATCTTTGTGTTCTGAGTTGATAAGAAGCAGCTTATGACACAACGAAGCAAAGGGAGACAGCATTAGGAAAAGCTTATCAATTAAATGATAGATCCAGTTGTGTTTTCACAGCACAGAAGAGGATAAGGAGAAAAGGAAATATGAATTTACACACACACACAAAAGACCAAACATTATGACAAGAACTGAGTTCAGCAAAAACTTGGCTCAAATGTAATATTGCAGCAATGTCAGACTAGGCAAGAAGAAAGGGAACCAGAGAAATAGCCAGAAGCACTCTGTGTGAAACAAGTCATAAATCACAAGAAATACAAATAGATAAAATAGATTGTGTTTGCGTCAAAACCGCTTTGGAGAAGACCATTAAAGAAGGCATTACCGGGACAAAGTGAAAATGTTACTTTTGAGGTCTGGCTTAGATATGGGTGTTTTTCATAGTGTTAGACTAGAAACTGGGGGTAACCTTAACATTTCAGGTACAGACAGTAGATAATACCTGTTACAGTTAATACCTGTTTGATCCTGAATCTGATAACGATAAGGTTTTATTTTGCATATTGTCCCTGGGTGGACAAAACCTGAAGTTAAAGCCAGCCTTGTGTTTGTTCACTCACGCTCCCTGCCTTGCTAACTAGTCAGACAGCTCAGCACACGGCCAGGCATATACTGCATAAACATGAGGCATAGATCAGATATCATGGCTAGAGTTTACACTGTGATTTATTTCATAGATATAATGTAACAGTCAGATGAGAAGGACATAGGAAAAGACACCCTCAACAGACTCTGCAAGGCCAATGCCTACTATAACACAGATACTAACAGAAATCATGAGCTGTAGACAGCAGCATGAAACAATTTTTGTGTCAAGATATTCTGAAATTTGCCACACAGGGACACATTAAAATGTAAACTTTTTTAAAATTTTGCGTTTTAATGTGGATTTTAGAGGCAAGATATTGAACTACTAGCCTGGAAGAAAAGACAGTAATTTTCCAAGTCTGCAATGGTAATGACAGAAGAAAATAATCATCTGAAGAACCCAAGTGTCAATTATACAAATAACCACACAATTTCTGCTAGGTACAAACCAGCTGTCTTGGCTGAACTTTAGCAAAAGCCTCTCTTGCTCTCTCTCTAAACAGAACAACCTTCATAAGGCTAGAACAGACCTCAGAATTCCTACAGTTTCCAGTGCACTCTGGGGTGCCTCTCATTCACAGAGATGGAAGAGAATTTGCATGTTTAAAAACCACTGCATTTCTCTGTTGCTGCAACTGCTAACACTAAATTATCAATCAAGAGCAGGCTGCAAGGAAGGCAGGAGATTTAGAAGCGATCATTTCAGTGGAATGAAAATTAGCACCAGAATTTATAGCTATGTAATACAACCCTCCCGACTAAGAACTGTAAATGCCACTGTCACTGAAATACATAGAGGAAAACTGTATTTATGTAAAATAGAAATGAAAAGATAAAGAGCTTTAAAAAGATACTTTTAATATATGAGAGATATTTAATTTTAGTAAACCATGTTACAACTGTGTGGGTGTGGTTAAAAATAAAATCATTAAAATTAGCTTCATCCACCTAACTAAAAGGAGAACATTGTACATACCATGTTCATGATAGTGAGGATATACGATTCCACGTGGTCACTTCCATGGTATTCAACCATCTTGCTGTCTGCAACCACAAGTGTCTCCACCCATCGCTCCTTGCTGACAGAGCGTCGAGAAACTTTTCTGACAGGCACATGATTTCGTTCCCATCTCTCCCTCTGACGCTCTTGGTTTTGGGAAAAGCTGATAGTATCTGCAAAGGTAACAAGCAACCTTGACTTCAAAATGTTGCCAAGCCTGATTTACCTTGTCTATGGCTATACTGTTTGTAGATAGGTTGGCAGCATTGCAGACTCGTACAACAGTTGAGTAGGTTGGACCACAGGCTGAAAAGGACTTCTGGCTGCCACCTACCTCACCTGCTCAAAGCGGGATCAGCAGGTAGCACAGGGCTCTCCCCAGCAAAGCGCTGAGTGTCTCCAAGGATGGGCTAAACAGCGCTCTGAAATATGTATCCGAAAGTCACCCCCACTCAAAACACTAGGGATTCAGATGCTACACACAGAGCAAAACTTTTTTAAAAAATAAAATAAATAAAAATAAAAAATAAAATAAATAAATTGGGGATGTCCTTTTCTGGGAATTTCTGCTGTGTTGTTTGGTTCAGGACCTCCCAATGACACCCGGCCATAATTCACCCGCTCATAATTTCAGATAAGGGAAGCACTTTCTCCACATGTCCCTCTTCCTCTCAATGTTCTGGTAAACCAAGCTTCATACAAGCCATTTGGTTTGTGCTTGGAAAACATAACCACAGGCACCCTGAGGAGCGAGAAGGCTTCACCAGCAGATGTCATCTGAGTACTGAGGAGGCGCATGGCTGCAAGCAACTCAGCCACCTGTGTCACGACTGACAGGTGAGAAGATTAGCACTTCTCTGATTTGGGGATCTCTGCATCTAAAAAGTCCTTTCGGAAAGTGCTCTTAATCTTTCAACTTGTGGCAACCTGGCACTGTGCTCACTGCAGCTAATTCCTCTCCCTTTGCTCTAACTTTGAGCACCAGCCAGCTGTGCCAACAGGGAAATACTGGGAATGTAAACACATATAGGCCTGCAAATGATGCGAGAGATGCCAGTTCAACAGCAACTGGTGCCATCTTTCCAGCCAAGAAGTCAAAGAAACTTCAGTGGGTATTGGCACTTCCCATGTCCTGGGACAGATGAGCAATGCTTGCTATTTTGATAGCTATTACAGGAGTCCTTTGGCATATCACAGTCTCTTCAGCATCACCTCCACCTCCCAAGACTACCCGTGGCAGGTATCCAGCACCAGCAAGTGCCAGGACACAGTTACCCAGACCACTCTTCACTAGAAGCACGGATGACTCTGCAGCTCCGTCTCAAACCCCTGGGTTCACACTGGCAGATTTGTTACACCTGTGTCATGACTGCACTGTTTGCCCTTTAGAATAATTAGGTTTAACCAGAAGGTATCACTGGGGCCTCCGAATTCTACCAGAAATTGACATTTCCTTGGATAGCTTTGTAAACTGCACAGCGTTGAATTAATATACTAAGCAGAATGTCTAATATTCCATATTGTGGATACAATAAATTAATCAATAATAGTTGTAAGCACATTTCTTTTTGGGTAAAGCAGTGTTTGCATTTAAAAAGATGATATATGTTCTACTTGACAAGAAGGTTGAAAATCTTACTGTTTTTGCCCAAGGCAAATAGCATAAAAAATGACTGAATGTAAAAAGATGAATCATATAATAAGACTCCAAATAAAGTTGTAAACTTCTATTTTTTATTATCCATACATTGTAACAATACAAGTGTAGCTATATTGATTTCCCTTGTGATTAGTAACCTAAATCACTGCTCAACGACATCCCATGCACTCAGATCATACCTTGTAGCTATGTCAAGAAGTAAACAAGTTGGTGAAGAACATTTCCTCCCACCAAGTCAAGAAATGCAATGAGAGGCATACATCCTTACAGTCTTGAAGAATGAGCTCCATGGAAAGCTAGCTTCTTTTAAAAACAAAACATTTTACAATATAAGATTCTTTTGTTGTTGTTGTTGTTTGTTTTTCCAAGGGCAGGAGAATGGTCTACCCTTGCTATAACTCCCAAGGCAATTCCATAACACTAAGCTGCAGCATCATTCCTACTGTCACCCTCAGGTTTTGTTCAGTTATCTTAATTACCTCAACTGGGAGCTATTAATGTGTTGCATTCATTCCTTTGTTCTGTACATTTATGTCTTTTTCTATTTTTCTTTTTCTTTTCAATGATTGCAGTTCTTAGTATCTATACTTTTTTCAAAGGCATTTTATACCACTAAAAACCTTCCCTACAGCTACCCAAACAGAAGATTTTGGCCAGACTGCTAGCTAAGTGACTTGTTGCTGGCCAAAGAAAACATCACATCACTTTTCAGGCTTTGTATTCACATCCAACAAGGAATTTTAATTATTGCCTGGGCAGGTGGTAACGCTACGTCCAAGGGAGATGATAAAAATGTTTAAAGCCAGTCGGACCACAAGAGTGAACAATCCTCAGGGAAGTGTGGAGAATCAGCATCCCAGTTAAGCATGAGGCTATGAACTACTGCAAAACCTCAGAAGAGAGACACAAGTTGTGAAAAATTAAAGCCAGAAAATGAGAGAGTATCTCTCGTTTTGTCTTTCCTTAGTCATGTTCTGGATAGTGCATGCTCTGGAAGGAATCATGGGACTCACCTAAGGATGGAATTCCAGATGTTTAAGCCTCCTAACAGCTTCTGAGTTAGATGATGCAAAGCGAGAACCTCTTGGAGCTGCACTAGCACAGAGGCAGCTGCAAAGCATGGTTTTATTTCTGCTGTTGCAACTGCACAAATGATGGTTGCTTTATCAAGCTTTTCATTCTGAAGCAAAATAAACCCAAAAAATAAACTCACTTACTGAAGTGCTGCAATGACTTCTGCCCAGCTGATAAGTCAGAGGCACTCTGCTCTAAGTACAGAAATCCTAAACCAGAACTCACAAGTTCACAAAAAAAAAAAAAAAAAAAAAAAATCCACACACATTCCCCCCTAAACCAGAGAGTCATCCATTAAAAAGGGGGGAAACAGGATACCTGAACCCTGAGGGTTCCTGTGAAGGTTAAGGATAAACAAACAGATTAATTTTGGAGCAGTCAGTTAGCATTGAAAGCCAACCACTGTATAATGGCACATGAATAAACATATGAACTAATAACAACAGATATTAACTTAGTGCTAAAATATATAGAGAAGAAAGGCCAACTGCAGACTAAAAGGAAAGGCTGAGAAGTAATACAGTTAATAAAAATTAAGGTAAAAAAATCAGCAGTGTTTTATGAAAAGTGAACATTAGCCAACAACTTTTGAGTCAGAGCTAACAGAAGACTTGGGAATGCCCAAAGTGCTCCAGTCACCCATGCTCAGAGTGCCACAAAGAAGGTGACAGCCTTTCCTCCTTCACTCATGTTTTGTGAAAAAGAGCAATTCTGGTTCTAGGCTCCGAGTCCCCAATTCTGACAGGGGCAAACCAAAACAAAGTGCTTGTATCCCGGAGAGGTGGGGGTAAGACATGCACTGGGTCAGCGATTTTCAGCTGCTAACTCCCCATACAGCAGGCTGCCTTTTTGGGTTTATACTCATAAACAGCAACAGCCATCCAGATACCTCTCCTCACCCCACAAGGAAGCAGGTACCTCAGCAGCCTGCCCAGGCTCTTGCCCACACTCAGCTAGGAGGCACAACACGAGATTGGAGTTCAATTGTCCAGGATCCACACGTAGCTCCAGATTAGAGGTCTGTCTCCTGCCTTTTAGGCTGGAAAACAGCACATTTTTGTTCATAAAAGCCTTTTCCTGTGATCACCTGCAATACTGGTAAACCAGTACATTTGGTCAGCAAATTCCTATTTCAATAATCTATTCCTAAAAGCAGCCAACTTATTGTCAGCAGTATATGTTGTCTTGAACAGCACGGTATCATCAATCCAGTATCTGAGTTACTGTAAGAACTTCCTACTAATCTATAAAATTCAGAAATGCAACATCTTATTAAGCTCCCCTTTTCTGACTCTGTCTGATGAAATAAGACAGAACAAAATTAGTTCTGAATGCTAAAAAAGTGGAAGAGCAAGGATTCACGCTACACAGAAAAGCTGTCATTAAACAAAGTAGTATGTGAATTTGAAACAGAATACCTAAAGCTCCTTTTTGAGCATTTCTAAACAGACTAAGCTAAATCACACAACTGCTTTCTGAGCATAAAATAACAGTGCTCACATCGGACATTATTACAGATATTTATTAACATATTTCCTCATGCTGAAAACCCCAAGACCAACAAAGGTGACACCATAAAGACTCAAGAAAAGTAAACATAGAAAGTAAACTTGCAGGCTTTAACTTCAACGTTCCTGCTGTCAAAAATACAAAGTATCAAACCACTTGCATAGAATGAAGCTAAAATTGGATCTGTGATGACTGATGCACTGAATCACGCACACTTAGCAGCAGTATCTGCCACGCATTGCCACACAGGCTGCAGGGACAGAACGATAAGTGTCCTGAGCCACTGGCATCAGGCGGTGTACAGATAACACCCTCATGGGAAGTAGCTGTATCTAGAGCTGCCTACATATGTTTTACAGCTAAGATTTACCTTCTGTCTGAATCATCTGTTTTTTTTTCTCCAAGAAGGAACCCAAAGCAAAAAAAAAAAAAAATCCCATTATTTTCAAAATTGCTTGATGGGAAGATCCTACTCCTTCCTTCTTAACTCTAGTAATTTTTGTTGTCATCCCACCACACTGTACAGGTATTGCTTATATTAATACAAGACATTCAGGATAGTTAAACACAAAAAAGAATAGAAGCTGTGGGGAAAAAATAACCTTATCCTTTCCTATCAGGAAAATAGGAAGCAGTTTTCCAAAAACTTCTAACTAGCAATTGCTAATCAACAGGACATACATAGAACTATAAAACTCAAAGACCTTGAAACTCCCTGCAGTAGAGAATACTGTAATAATTAATAAGTACAAGTTACAGCTAGAAACAGTCTGTAAACTGAACGAAGATTGTATGAAATGTCAGATTGCCATCTTTCAGGTAAGGAAAGCTCCACTAACCACAGTGGTAGTAAGATTCAGAGTTCTGCACATGCTTAACTATCCCTAAGATCAGAGTTCACGCCTTTTTTTTTTTTTAATATTGATTTTA